CTCAGTCTAATTAATGTCTTCAGACCAACTTTTGAAGCAATACTTTTCCAGTATCTTTATTTTTGAAGGGAGTTGGATAACTTGTCTTCCAGCTACTGAAAAACAAAATGGATCCTGACTTAAATATCTAATGAGTGCCCGAATATGTAATGTTTGTAACGGTCCCAGTTACCTGTTAGTTAATAAGTTCTTTCTCATGTTTCACAACATCCTAGATGTATGTGGTAACCAAAGAATAATCAGAATAAGGGACTCAAGTCCAGAACTGGGTCCTGCGTAGAAGCCATCCTGCAAAACCCGGCCCTGGGAAGCGCCGGTGTGACTCTGACACATCCCCAGTGCCCACAGCCCCAGCAAAACCAACGGGAAAGTGGGAAAACGTGCTCTCACCTCCTGCCCACCCAGCACCAGCTCCAAGGTATCACAGTTTTGCCCAACCCGTTTCCGAATGATGCGGAAAATTTCAGCGTGAGATGCTGATGCGCAAACATCCGACTCGGCCTTCAATGTTGTAAAAAAAGTAAAGCCCCAAACGTGCTGCTTGGCGTGCGTTTGCTAATAGAGAGACCACCAGTGTGGTCAGAGGAGTAACGGAGCCACCAATAACTCTTTCTGTCCTTTGTAAGCTGCATGCACCGCATCAGGGGTCGCTTCATCTCTAATGAATTACGCCGTAATTACACCTCACGGTCTGCTTGTCCCTTCCGTTGGGTCTGAACAGCGCCAGTGTCAGGGGAGAGCCGTTTGCCTCGGCAAACCAAGCCTCCTCCTGGGTCTGCTGGTGCTGGATTGTCCTCTGTGTGCTCTGTAACACGCGGGTGGCTCCTCTCTTGGGCTGGGCCTGCACCCTGTACCGGCCGGGAGCCGCTGGACGCGCCGGGGGTGCAGCGCTGCCCATTGCTGCGGCGGTGGTGGGCAGCTCTAGGACATCTGTAATGGTGATAATGGTACTAGGTGGGATGGAGAGTAATGGGATGGGAGGAGCTGCCTTCTGCCTTCTTATCATGAGCAGAGTAAAGCAAACTTGGGTTTTCAATGAGAGTTTTCCATCACAGGTTGCCAAGAATTTTCCAAGATTGAAGCACCACAAGCTTTTGTGAAGAAGGGACAGAAAAATTACCACAGGGAGATGAAAGGCCAAGCCCCAACTGATGCCCGTGGGAGCCGTGGCAAGGCCTGCACGCGCCTGGAGTCATGCTGTGGGGCAGTGATGGCGAGGGGACAGAGCGGAGACCTCTGAACCTTGTCACCCAACAGCTGGGTTACACCTCCTCTTGGTTACTGTGATACTAGACCCGTTATTATCCAGGCAAAGGCTGAATTACAGTCTGGAAGAGATGTGACATCCCCTCGTTAAGGTCAACAGACGGGCAGCAATAGCTGCAGAAGATGTACTGCAGAAATTTGCCTATTTTCTTTGCTATATGGGACACGTGAATTTCTAAAACACGCGGACAACGGGAAGAAAACAAAAAACCCACAAGAGAATCTTTACAGATAAGTCTGAAAACAAAGAAATTACCGTAATTGAAAACAATATACTTTGAAGTCGCATACTGTCAGGGGCGGGCATATATGTCAACACCGTTCAGAATTGATGGCAACCAGCGCAAAATTCTTGGGAGTTATCACTGCTTTTAGACCGTCCATGACTCTTCTCTCTCCTCTGGAGGTTTGGTTACATGGTCTAGAAACCCTTATCTGGCCAGCGCTGACCACAGCCGCAGCCCGAGCTTTGGG